ATAATCTTTTTCTGCTAAATCTTTCATTAATTTAAATGCTTTTGATTTATTGATTTCAGTTCCAATTCCTTTATTATAGTAGTAAGCAAGCTTATAATTTGCATCTAAATCTCCTTTTTCTGCTAATTTTTTAATTATTTCAAATGCCTTTTCTTCATTTTTATCAACTCCTTCTCCTAATTCATACAAAAAACTCAAATTATATTGTGCTTCACTATTTCCTTTTTCTGCTGCTACTTTGTATAATTCAAATGCTTTTACTTTATTAATATCAATTCCAATTCCTTCATCATAACAATAACCAAGTTGAAATTTTGCATTTATATTTCCTTGTTCAGCTAAAAGTTTATGGAATTCAAAAGCATTTCTCCCATCTCTTCTTACACATTTATTTTTTTTATAATGATTAATCAAATCAAATGGTAACCCTTCATTTTCATTTTCTGCCACTATTTGACCTTTGCTAAAAATATTATTTTGATTATTTTTTGTAAATTTAGTTATAAAGTACTTGAAACCTTTAAAACTTGGTTTTTTTTTGAAATTTAATTTCTTTAATATTACTTATTTTTAACTTTTGTCTTTTATTATAGTACTTTAAAAGATTATCTTTTGCAATAATATTTCCATTTTTTGTTGCTTTTTCATACCAACATTTAGCTTGTATTTTATCTATTCTCGTTCCAATCCCATTATAATAACAATTTCCCAGTTGATATTGAGCATCTGAAATTTCTTGTTTAGCCAAAATTTCATAATATTTAAATGCTTTAATTTCATCTTTTTCGACTCCTTTTCCTAACCTAAAACAATTTGCAAGATAAAGTTTTGCACTTTTTTTCCGCTTTTAGCTGCTTTTTTATACCAATGTACTGATTTTATAATATCTTTTGCAGTTCCAATGCCAAATTCATAACAATTTCCTAAATAGAATTGTCCAATAATACTGTCATTCTCTGCAGATTTTTGATACCAATTAAATGTCAAGTTTTTATTACTCTCAATTCCAAATCCATCATAATAACATTTTCCAAGATAGACTTGTGCAGTCAAATAATTGTCTTCAGATGCTTTTAAGAATAATTTGAATGCTTTTGTACTATTTTCCTCTGTACCAATATTATAATAATAAAGTAGTCCAAGTAAATAAATATATTGTGGATTTACTTGTTTAGTTAGCCATTTAACGAGATTATCTGAACTTTGATTCAATTCTAAAATTTGCTGATTGATAAATCGTTGAAAATCTTGAAAATTAATACTTTCCTTATCATGTTTCCTATTTATAACCTTAATTAACTTTTGAACAATTATATTATTAGTTTTATCAAATGTTGACCCGTATGAAATTTTTGACATATTTGTTTGAATTGATGTACTTGATAAATTATTTTCACAACTTATATTTAATCCAGTATATGATATCAATTCATTATTTAAATCCACGGTTTTGATTGATTTAGAAGTCGTTTCACATTTTTCCAGTTGATTATTTTCTTTTCCTTTATTAACATTAACAGTATTAGTTATACCTTCTTGTTTGGGAAATATTATTTCATAAAGGATAGAAACGACATTCTGTATATTTGGACGTTCATCCGGATCATCTTTCCAACATTCTAGTTAAAAAAATTACATTACTAAACTTTCGATCAATGAATTAATAAAATTAAAATATTAAGAATATTAATTACCTGTATACAAATTACTATATTCTATAGGAGTATTATCAATAGTTTTTTCTCGTTTTCCATTTACTATGGACAAGGACAAACTTACGTCATAATCATAATCAGAAAATGGTTGACGGCCACTTGAAATTTGCCACATCAAAACTCCGATGCTGTATACATCAGATTTCTTGTTTAATTTGTAACCTTGTTCATATAACTTTTTTGGATCAATAAAAGGTATTACGCCAAGTATTTTTGATGTATTGCTTGATGCTTCAGAAATTTTTTTTGATAAACCGAAGTCTGTTAACTTTATCTTTTGCTGATGTACTAGTATATTATCTCCGTGCTATAATAATAAATGGAGTTTATTAAAACGAATATAATAAATTAATCTATTATCAAATTACAAAATTAATTCATTATTACCAGATCACGATGAATTATATTACAATCATGTAAACATTCTACCGCATTGGCTAGTTGAAATGCCAACTGATATTTATCAATCCAATTAAGTTCATTACAATGCTTATTTAAATAAGTTTTTAGTGTACCATTGTCGGCATATTCCAAGACTAACGAATATTTTTCTGGATAAAAAAGAGAGTATTTTAAACCAAATTATTAATGTAACACATGCTAGAACTTGAAATTTACCAGTTTCCACTTTCGTGATGCCGTAAAACCGTATAATATTTTCATGATAATCAACTCTTTTTTGTAATTTTATCTGGAAAAGAAAACAATATTTTAATTTTAATATTTGAAATTTATAATAAAGTTAATTGAGATTAATTACCTCATTAACGAGTTCTTTTAACATTATATTGTCATAATATTTAAAAGTTTTTAAAGCAAAAAAATTTCCAGCATTTTTCCAATTAGCACGAACGACATTTCCATGTGAACCATTTCCTATAGATTCTAAATTTTTAAATTCAGAATATTCATAATAATTGAGATATTCATTTGCAATTGATTTTTCTAACCACTTATTATAATAATTTGGTTCTTTGGGGTCAGTCTCTTTCGTTTCTTTTGACATTCTCAATAAATTGTTTATCAATTTTAACGATAATTGAAACCTTATAGTACTTCCTTATCTGTTTAATTAAATATGAGAGCAAAGGAGTAATGTTTTACTTTAAAAAAAAACTTTTTATACGATAAAATGGGTATAACGATATCAAAAAAAGGTTTCCCAGTTAGAAAAATTCGGCGAAAAGTCTATAAAAGACCAAAACAAATAGGAGAAACGGGACTAGATAGATGAGACGAAACAAAAAAAAAGCCAGAAGAACAAAAGCAAGTTTTGAAAACAAATATGACCAAGAAATAAGGAAATATAAAAGAGAAATTGAAGCGTTATGGAATTCAGCAAATAAAGTCTGATTTTGAAACAAGAAATACTAATCAAAGTAACAAAATCTATAAAAAATAATAATATCTTCAGATGCATCGCGGACATCACGCGCTTTCAAACAAAAATGGAAAAAATGTAGATCGCAATGTACCAATGAGGAATAGTTCTCATGGAAGTCTAGACGATTCGATTCATTGTGCAAGAGGTCGATCAGAAACAAAGAAAAGAATTCACGTAGGGATCATGTGTTACAGTATACCAAGCATAGAAGGGCAAGACGACCTACACTTCCTCTCAGTACTAGAGGAGTTCAACCCAAAATAAAGAAACGCCACGATTGTAGCAGCTTACCCGATTTTTATGAGCGCGCCGCTTGGTACAGATATCTCACATGGCGATCACTGCGGCGATCATCGAAGGTGTTACAGTACTTCTTCCAAGACGATACTTTCTTTGATATTTCAGAATAAGACGGCAAATTACTTTCACAACCGGATTTGTTCCTTCAAAAGAACTCCACATTCCGATAATTATACATCAACGATTGATTACAAGTGACAGTACTGTTAGTTCACAAGCGGAAACTATTACGTTTCCGCTCACACCTCAGCACACGGACAATTATTTCCGTACCAAAATAAAAACAATATCGGACCTATCATAACTGTAGAACCCTACTTGACAGTATGTGCATATAGCATCCTAACCTTATTTCATTTCCCTTTTTTTATTTTTTTAGAATGAAAGAACAATACGTTGGATTCGAGCGATTATTAATCATTGTTACGTAGTTTTTATTTCACACGCCCCTGATGAAAGCTGTAATGTTTAATGTAGTGCATTATAGCTAGTCCGACTTGACTTTTTTACAGTTTTAATTTTGTACTACTCCGAATCAAATTATTTAATCGTTACTGATAATATATTTTTCTGAAATGAAAATAAAAATAAAATAAAGAATGCAAACGCGTTATCTGCTGTACCATAAACTTTTATAAATGGACCAATGATTTCCTAGAGCTTCTTAAGAACGGTGTTGATAATTTTTTCTTTACAAGTACACAGTGAAATTCGATATAACGGAACCCAATAAACCGGAACTGACCTTATACCGGAACTTTTTTCCGGAACAAAATCACATATATTAAAATAAATTTGATATAATGAAATTTATTAGTAAAATCTCGATAATGGCTATAACGGAACAAATAACAAATCAGTTATAATAAAAATGATTCGATTTACCGGAACACGTGACGATCCATGATTTTAAACCAATAAAATTAGCAGCGTGATAACCTTTTAGAAATTTTAGTGGAATACGCAAGCTTTGAAGACTCAGATAAAGATTCTTCAATATTTTCAACATTCCTAGTCTATATATTCAGAAAAATTCCATCACTTTATAAGGATGTAATATAAATAGAATTTCCTAAATAAGTTGTTTATTTGAAAATATTAATATATGTGAACCCCTAAAAATAAATACACGAAATCGAAATCTTTTTTTACACTTTAATCACGAACTTTTTTATTGAAAATATGTCTAATAGTGAAGTAAGAAAAAGCAAAAACAGGGTAGAATAAATGATTTTTTTAAGTTTTAGTTAATTTCAGTGTATAAAATTTATCAATATTAAATGTTTTCAATGTTTGTCGCATATGTCGCACAAATAAAAACTTGATATAACGGAATTTCATGGGTATCAGGACATTTTGCCGAAAGCCATTTCGCCGAAAAATAATCTCTGGCCTGAGTTATTTATAATTCTGCATAATGTTGGCCCTATTTTTCGGCGAAACGTCCTTTCGGCGAAATGGCTTTCGGCAAAATGTACCGTAACCAATTTCATGTGATTTATATATAAAATCCGGTATATCGAAATTTTTTGATACAGTCTAACCTCGATATACCGATATTCGATATACCGATATACTATTAAAAACTTGATATACCGATAAAATTTTATTTTCCCACTATATGTGAGTACATATAAATATCGGTATATCTTTGATATAACGATATTTTCTAAAAATTTCATATATGTCCCGACATATCGTTATATAAAGGTTTGACTGTATATCGGAAGTCTCGATAGTCGATATACCGGATATTTTTACTGGAACGGATGGTTCCGTTATATCGAATTTCACTGTGTATGTGGTACGGCTGGTCCCTTGTTGACAAGAAAGTGAAATCCTGCTTGTCGTCATCGCATTATTCCTAAAATCTATTTATTTATTTATTTTTGATATTAAACCAGATGAATTTGTTAGTATTTTTTTTAAAAAAAATTGATATTTAATATTATATTTTTAACAAAAATTGCTCATTTTTTATTTACGTTTTCATTTCTTCGATTATACAGTACCTGCATGGAATTTTGTGACCAGTATAAGTTAGCTTAAATAATTTAACATCCTGCTTGTCTTCGGTCACTTTAAGAATTTGCGACCATTAATCTTTACGAATAATTTACCCATCAAACAAAATCCTTTTTTTATCTTAAATATCCAAGTCGCCCATTTCCTTTACAAAAAATCTAATTTCAATTCTTTGTTATATTGTGAATCATTTTTTTCCGTTGCTATATTTTGGCAAATATAACAAGTATGTGTTCAAAAATATTTTGTAAAAGAAATTAATCTGTCGTACAAACACCGTTGTATGATCCGATTAATGTGGATTTCGTCTGATTTGCAACGTAGGATAAATAATCATAATTATCGCTTGTTTAATTTTAATTCCACGCACCAGAATTACATAATGTCGCCTGATGTGTTGTTACCTTTTTTTTGTATTAGTACCTTGAAAATAATAATTTAGAGAATGAAATGGTATATAGAGGAATGTAAAGTACAAAGAAATATTCCATAGAGTAAGTTTTTTTACGTAAATTATTCATTAGTTTGTATAACTTGTAATTTTTTTTTTTTCACTAATAAATGATTTTAACTGAAGTTCAAATTGAAAGTATTTTCGGCTATTTGGTTAATTTGACAATTCAAAATCAAATTGAATGATATGGAAGCCTTAAATAAAAGTCTAAATAATTATTGTTCTATTTTTGATTTTAATGAACATTAGCAAATTTATATATATATATTTTTATTATAGCAGGAAAAAATACAAATGGTCACGCAAGTTAAAGAAATATAAGATTACGTGCAAATTGTGCAAATAATAATAGAAACACAAAATTTTCAAAATCAGATAGATACAGTATGTCATACATATTAAATTACTCTAACAATCAGGAGAATATCTTGGAGATTCATCACCATGTGCTTGATCTTGTTTAGGTAAATTTTGTGAGAGGTAATCATTCTCTTGTTCATATTCTCCAATTGAAGCAGATTGATAGGTTGGAGAATCAGGAATTACTTGTCTCGGCTCTTGTCTCAAAGAACTGGGAAATGGTTCATATATAGAAGAAGCATCGTAAAATAATTGATTCAAAATTGATAAGATGGAGAACCAGAATTGGGAGACGATGCATACCTAAGAGAATGATCATCCGAATTAAGTCCATATACGGGATTAATTTGGCCAGAGTTTAGATAAGAATCATCGTTTTGGAAATATCTTGGTGAACTTTCACCTGAAACATATCTGGGAGAAGAATCATCATTTTGGGAATATCTTGGTGAACTTTCATCTGGAACATATCTGGGAGAACCATTATCAAGAAGGTTTCCTGATGTGATTCTATAAGTCCTGTTAGAAAGATTCTCATCAGAGGAACGAGAACTTTCAGGTTCATATCGTGGAGAATTAAAAGGTGAAAGTGATGTAGACGATTCATTATAGATGTTTCTAAAAATAGAAGGCCCTGAATATTCAATACTAATTCCTGTTGATACTTGTGCTATTTAACAGTAAAAAAAAATGAAATAATATTATATCATCGATTAGAACAAGAATTATTAACTAGGAAACGGGAAGATTTCATTGGGTAACGTTCACGTGGCGGACAGAGAAATTCACGTGATCGATTTTTTTTTTCAAAATTGTCTTTCGCTTCGCACCGGACAATAAGATATATGGTATAAATAAATTTTAACATACGAGCAAACGTTAAAATTTTTTGAATAAAATCAACGTGAGATATGAGCATACGACGACAACAATATCTTGTTATTCCAAGAGCTTCTAATGCAGCACTTTTTACATTTGATAAAAGGAAATAATATTAATTTAAAAATGATTTGTGTGAAAATCAAATCAATTTTAAAAAAAATACCTTTCAGAATATTCGCTTTCTAACATAGTTTGATAATGATTCCATTTATTAGCTAATACTTTTCCACAAGTAAAACAACGAATTGGAATAATCATCTTTATTATAAAAAGATTGAGATGATTTTTTTTTTTTAAAAAAAAAAAGGATGAGAATTTTTTGAAAGACAAACTAAATAGAATTACATAATCATTATTCTGATGCGAAACTTAATTTGTTACATAATGAATATTTACGTTTGTTTTACAATATATAATTTGTAATTGATGTTTGTCTAATTTCAGAAATATATACATCATTATATTTTTCTTAAACGTCCGTATTTCGTAAATTGCATAGATTAAAAAAAATTTGAAAATTTGATCGCAAATTTATTTATTTTACGAAATGAATGTTGCAAATTATTCCTTTATTTGTAATTAAATATTAAAATAAGACAACTATTATTTTCTTCCACCAAAAAGCGTTGACATAAATTAATTTTTTTATAATACATCCTTTAATACTCATGCTAAAGAATATTATGAAATATAAAAAAAAATTATTTGTATTATATTAAATATAACAAGTAACTATTTATCGTATGATAGAAAACAAGTTCTCCATTTTCCCTATTTTATTTATTTGTACCTTGTAACGCAAAGGTTATTATTTTTAAGTATAAAGTAAAAAATAAAGTAATAGTTATTTATTTTTATATACGTACACCGTGAAGTTCCCATACAGAGTTTCAAAACACTTGCAATAAATACCCTTTTTGGGTCATGATCTACCATACGGTTAAGGAAATACTTTGGGTGAAATTTAAATAATCATTAATCATTAATCATTATTGAATAGAGTAGCGCCCCACCCTCCCACCTGGTGAACTTGGGTTTTATTTATAGTTAATTAATTAATTAAAACAAAAAATAAAAAAATTTTAATGAAAAATTTTTTTTAACAAATGAATTTAAGACATGAGATGAAATGTTATTCAATTAAAATTCAGTAATCATTACATTTTTAGTTTATAATTGTTAGTAATAAGAATAGTTGCAATTAAAGTTAAAACTTTTAATTAAATAATTAATTTACTTGAGAAATTTATACTTTTAAGTTTTTTATATTTGGAAGACATTTTTATTTAAAATGAAAGATATTATGGTATACATAAAATATGTTTAAGGCTTTAAGCATAAAAGAAAATTATATCAACTGATGATCACATAAAATATATAATAAAATTATAAAATTATAACAATTTATTTATTTTATATTTTAAAGCAGTGTATTTACTATCTTGTAAATCTTGGAAAAAATAAACACTATAAATAAATATTCGATGTTTTAATTTAATAATTAAATTATAAATTATTGATTTTTTTCTGAAGCTTATCTAAATTATTCTTTGCCAACTCATATCCTTGTTTAGCGGATTTTTTATACCAATATATTGCTTTATCTATATCTTTTGCAATTCCATCTCCCATTTCATACATTACTGCAAGATTATTTTGTGCTACATTATGTCCTAAATTTGCAGCATTTTGATATAATTCAAATGCTTTTTGATTATCAATTTTAGTTCCAATACCATTATTATAACAATATCCTAACATCATTATTCCTCCTGAATATCCTCCTTCAGCTGATTGCTTAAACAATTTAAAAGATTTATTATAGTCTTTTTCAATACCAATCTCATTTCTATAACAATTACCAAGATTATATATTGCCATTAGGCTTCCATTATTTGCAGCTACTTCATACCAATAAAAAGCCTTTTTTAAATCCTTTTCAACACCTATTCCTTTTTCATAACAATAACCAATGCTTACTTGTCCAGGTGTAAAATTTTTATCAACTACTTTTTCATAATATTCAAAAGCTAATTTGTCATTTTTTATAGTTCCATTTCCATAAAAATAACATACACCAACAAAATACTCTGCTAATATATGATTTTTTTCTAATGCATTAATATATAAATTAAATGCTCTCTCATTGTTTTTACTTATTATAATTCCATAATAATTAAAATATCCAAGAATAAAAATAGAATTGGAACTATTTTGATTATCTAATAACCAACTACAAAATTCTTGTGAATTTATGTCATGATCATCAAAATATTCAATAATTTTCTGCTTATCTAATTTCCATTCAAGTCCTTTATTATTTAATTTATAAATTAAATCATAAATTTCATCAACTATAAAGTTAAAATCTTCGATTGGAAAATTTTTTTGTTTACTTAATATTACCATAGGATCAATTTCTTTTATGTTTATTTTATCAAAATTTTGAATAAGTTGAGTTAAATCTTCATTAAGTTCTTGTTCATTTGATATTTGATGATTTTCTACTATTACATCCGTTTTTGTAATTATGGAATTTAGCCAATCAACTACTTGATATATTGTTGGACGATTATCTGATTCCCCATCCCAACATTCTAAAAACAAACATAATTTTATAATTAATAATATTCAAATTATAAAAATTTTAAAATATAAAATTATTACTCACTGGTATAAATTTTAGCATATTCATCAGGTGTATCAGGAACAACAGTTTCTCTATGACCTTGTGAAATATCTAAAGCTAAACTAATGTCACATTGTTCACCTTCAACATAAAAAGGAGGCTGCCCACTGGATATCTCCCATAGTAATACGCCCAAACTATAAATGTCACTTTTTTCATTTAATGAGTACATTTGTATTGATTGGTTATTATTTTTTCGACTACTAAAACTTTTTGGATCGACGTAAGGAACCATTCCGAATAATTTAGATTGAAAATTGGATGATGCTTCAATTCTTTTGGATAATCCGAAATCTGCTAATTTGATTATGTTATTACGGACAAGTATATTACGGGAGTGCTATTAAAGAAATATTCAAATGAGTAATATAAATATATTATTATCAATGATCTAATAATGTTAAATAAATTACCAAGTCACGATGCACTATTCCTTCGTTATGTAAACATGATATGGCACAAGATAACTGGTAAGCCATGTTATATTTGTCGTCCCAAGTAAGTTTGTTAAAGTTTTTCTTCAAATAACTTCGAAGGCTACCACCGTCGGCATATTCCATTACTAACCAATAATCATTATGATTATCTAATAAATAAAAAAAATAATCATTAAAATGCATTTCTTTGAATTTGCGATTAACAAGAATATTATTTTTATAAAGGCAACTTTACCTGACTCAAGTTTTGTTATTCCATAGCAACGGATAATGTTATCATGAAAATCAATTTCTCGTTGAATTTTTAACTAAAATAAAATTCAAATATTTAAAAATAAGTTTATTAAATAAATATAATCATAAACGAAAAAAAATTATAATTACCTCACGAACGATTTCTTTCACGGTAATGTTATCAAGATTAAAAAAAGATTTTAACGCAAATTGTTTTTCTGAATTTCTCCAATTTGCACGATATACTTTTCCGAAACCTCCGGTACCAATATGTTGAATATTATCAAATTGCTGGTATTCATAAAATTTAAAATATTCTTTATTAACAGCTTCCTCAATCCAATTGACCCATTCATTTGTATACTCGGTATCTTGCATTTTGATATTATCAAACGTTATTGAACGTATTGAATAATGATAAGTTAACGATGAAGTTACAAAAAGTAAAGTTTTATTTTGTATGCCTATTTTATATTTTTTTTCCTCCGATGATAGTCGTACAGGCGTACAGCGTGATTTAGTATTACCTGCTACGGTGCTACCAAACAAAAAGGTCAATCCCGCCTTGGTACCGCAGTACGCAGCAATTTTCCTCATATAATGACCAGAACCCCAGTCATGGCAAAAAAAAGTTGCAGTCACGTGACTGCATTTTTTTCATCACAACCGTCACACCCTACCGCGTTTCCACTTTTTATATTTATCTGAGGGACTTAGTTTTTTTCGAGTAAGTAAAACTTATTCGTCACACCCTTATTCGTCACTGTTTATTTTCACATGTTAGTGCATAACTCCGTAATGCGGGCCAAATGTCACGTGACTGCAACTTTTTTGCCATGGCTAGGGTACTTTATAATGACTAAATGACGTCATCAAGAAATTTTGAAAAAAAAAATTACTATAAATTATAACAACAATATTGAATATATTAAAGGTATTAAACCACATAATTATTTTCAGAATACTACTAGAAGATATACAATTTCTTGATAAAAGTCAAATTTTTTATTTGTTATAATGTTAAATAAAATTGAATAAATGTTCTCTACCACAATCATTCCAACAACATAATTGAAATCTTTTAAAATGGGTTTTTATAATATGAAAATAAGAATATTCCAAGTTATCATAATAAATTTTACATTTTAGAATATTTTAAAATATAATTTGAATTTAATATAAATGTAATAAATGTTATCCCCTGATTGACACCATTTACACGTTTATGCAAATATAGTTATACCTACTGGGTAGCAAATTTTATATGTATTTATTTATCCGTTCCTAGGAGATTTTGCACTAAAATTAGCTACTATTTTATACTATTGATTATACTATTGATTATACTATTGATTATACTATTATTTATGCTACAATAACAAGTTATTTATTAAAATAACAAATTATAATAAAAATTATTCTTTTGTAATATTAATGGTAATATTAGCACATTTAATGAATTTAAGCTTAAAATTTTCAGCCAATTCTAAGTTTTTATCTTTACGTTTCAGAGGAATTGAAATATTTTGAATTTCAGAGAGTGTTTTTCCTGAAGATGAGTGAAATTCATTATTAGAGTCAACTTTATTTATATTTTCTTCATCACTGTCTTCGTGCACATACCTTGCAATATTGTCGCTAACCTTTTCTGTATCCTATTAATATAATAAATATTATGTAAATTAAAAAAGAAATTATAAATATATTAGAAAAAGAAAAATACCTTGTGTACGCCTGGAAGTGTTAGTTTCGCAACTTCTAATTTTTGAATTTCATTTTGTGAACAATACCTAAAAATACAGTGTGATTATAAATAAAAAATTATTATGAATTGGAAAAATAAGATACTTACGAATTTAACCCTGCTAAAGATTTATGCAATGTTACATTCATAATAGCCTGAAGATCCAACCCTTCATCATTTAATTTTTGGGCAGTACGTTTTCGTAAGGAATGATTTACGACTCTTCTATTTGTACAATCAATACTAGTAATGGTGCAAATTTCTTTTAGCATTCTGGATAGTTTATCTCGACCCATATGCTGTGAAGAATACCACTTTCCCAGTTTAATATCTAATAGTATAGATTAATAAGCAATTAAAAATTAATTACATTAATAACATATCTCAATAAAAATAATATTACCTTCAGGATCTTTATTAACATGAAGTAAAAAATTTTTTTCTGCATTTTTTGGTCGTAAATTAAGATATTTTTTAATATCATAACATGCTCCACATTCTTTAGATTCATCTGGAGGAATAATATGTGTAGGTGTTTGATTAGAGGTTGGTTGATGATAATAGCCCCCCTGATGGGTTTTATTATGAATTTTAATAATATCAAAGCCTCCATCATCACGTTCCTTAAAATGTTCAGCCATAAGATTATAATACGACCCTCCTCTTTGCGCTGTACAACATCCTACCCATAGAAAAACTCTTTTAAGTAATCCATCTGGCGTTTCATTTGACATGTTAGGATGCTCAAAGATCTTGACCATTTCATCATCTGTAAGAGCATCAGCACCATTATATTTACCATTGTTAATATCTTCAAGCTCAATAATTCTAGTATGTAATGTATCACGAACTGCCCCAAATTCAAAGTCTTCATGTATATATGTTAAATGGCTCTTTATCTTTAAACAATTCTTGGTAACATCTATTTATGGCACAAATTCCATTGTATAGAGAATTTGCTTTATAATCCTTTTTTTCTCTTGTTTTAATAATTACAATAAATTCGCATAACAACATTGCAATAACCTTCTTATCATAAAGAGTTAATAAATCAATATCTGGTTGTGTGTCATTCACAAATTCCTCAAATCTGGAGAACCATAATCTAGTATTTTTCTTGGTATTTTCAGGTTTTGCTTTAGTGACATATCTTTGTAGAGTTTTTAAAGAGGACGTTCATATGATTCTTTGGGAATAGATGGCTTTGAAATTTCGTGTATATTAGAAATATTTACATTCTGCAAATGAGTAAAATTTTCTTTTAATTTATCTGTAACGTCAATATTATTTTTTGAGTGTAATAGTTCTGAAGCTTTTTTAAAATTTTGACTCATTTTTTAAAATGGAAAAATAAAAATAGCGGGTGAAAGAAATTAGGATGCAACAATAAACTATATTTTATAATTACTGATTAACACGTGATATACTACAATAAAACAAATTTTTAATATTGTGTAAATGGCAGGGGATAAATCAATTATATCCTGGCTAATTGGAATAGTAAAATTTTACTTTAGAATCGGAACATGATCAGCCTATCGGCTGATCATTTATCCGATCCTAGTAAAATTTTACTTATTCCTAATTAGCCAGGATATAACTAATACTTATTTTTTGAAAAAATCTCTGAAGGTTTTCTTCCAATTTCTTACAATAACTGAAATTAAAAATTTTCAAGTTCTAAATTCGAAAATTTCCGTTACTCAAATATGACAAATAATTTTGGTTAACTTATCATTAAATGATTTTGTGGCGTGAATAATAAATTTTTAGAGTTAGAGCAAGATTTTATTTAATAAATCTTTGAAATTTTCCAAAGTTAACGATACTAACTATACTGACAAAACTTCGATTTTGAAATGTTATTTATAACTTTTTTTTTTTTTTTTTTTAAACAGTAACGCGCTTTATTAATAATATATGATCTAAAAAAAGATCAAAAATTAACAAATATAAGCACCTAGAGCAATAGAGCAAAGAAAGTTCAAAGACTTTCTAAACCCTATAACTGAGTTTTAACTATATACTAATTTCTAATTTAAAATCTAACTATTACATTGTGTTTGATTAAAAATTATTTTTTGTTTTATACTACGTTACTATTCTAATAATTTTACGATGTTTTTGGATTTTTGCTATTTTTTATGTTTTGAGGCTTTACTGTTTTCTAAATCGTTCTAAACTAATTGTGAAGAAAATAATAATAAAAACCTAACTAAATAATAAAAGTTAAAAGCGTTCAAATAAAGCCAAAAATTTTTTAAAGAAAAAAATTAAAAGAAAACTAAACTACACTTTCGCGGAAAATACCAAGTAATTATGTACACAAAACTCTCATTGTTACAAAAGAAACCACTCGATCAAATTCCAGTATCGTCGTTTCTAATAAAATTTTTAAATTTTGTTAAAAAATTTTTGGGATAATTTGTTTATTCGTTATCAGAATTTTCCCTTTCTCCCTGCTTTCGTACTACACGCTTTTTGTTGTTATTAGTCTTTTCTTCATCATCGTCCGAAATATCTGTTACTTTCTGCTTTCCTTTCGTATGCGACGTGCTTGATTCTTTCTCCATTTCTTCTAGTCGTTCTTTAAAATTATATTTAGTGTATCTAATTCTTCATGTTCTTCTTGGGTCCTTGGAATCGTTGAAATTTTGCGTCAACAAATTGGTCCTTCTTTGTTTGTTGAGGGATTTTAAATCTGTTAATACCGAAACGTTTTTGTACGTCCCATTGTCTCCGATTAATTCATCTTGACTTTTCAACTTAAGACCTTTTCCTAAATCATCCTCCATATTAGACTTATATATTGAATTTAACAAATCATTTTCATTGTTAAAATATATCAAAATATATTTAATTTTGTTTATTTTGATTATTTTTGAAAAATGACCGCCAAATTTTGTATTGAAAGCTTTTGTAACTACGTAGTCTTTTTATCTAAATACACTTCGGGGATTTTTTTGTACGCTTGCCATTCATATCTTGTCTTTATTATTAAGAAAAGATTCCAAAAAATCATTTATACCTATCTATTCTACTATACTCATTTATTTTTACTAAAAAAAAAAATACAAAGAATTTTCTCTCTATTATGCTATACCAATTAATTTGTCATAAATCTCAGAAATTATTTTTTTACCAACTTATTGTATTAAAAAATTCATGAAATTTATCTAATTAACTTACATTTTTAAGATCTTGGGCACTATTAAATTGGAATTTAGTGTAAGGAACTAAAAAATATAATTAAATTTTAACTTAAACCAATACTTTTAAATCATTTATCAACTTGGTTTATTTTATTATGTATTTACATGTATATACCTTATTAAAAATTTTATAATAACGAGCGTGAAAATGTAAAAAAAAAATGATTGGTCGAATGCCTTATGAACGCTGATCATTTGATCGACATTCCAACACCGGAAAGAAATTTTCATTATTTTTGGCATTTCGACACTGGTCCTCTGATTGGTCGAAATGACTAAAATTTAAAAAAGAAAAACTCTTTGTTAAATAATACTTTAAAAATTCTAATCAATATAACTATTAACATAAGAGGATTCTTAGCTATTCTTTTATTTTTTTTTTATCGATATCAGCTTTAAACATAATTTCAATGATCTATGTGCTATATTTAAATTTTATTGGTTCTTTTTTATGCTATATCACTTTAATCAGAGTATATAGTAAACAATGTAAACATGTAGTGTATGGTCTTTAATCTCCAATATATTAAGTTAGTCAGAATTTTCATGTATGGATATAATAAACGTAGTGTAACATTTCTAGCTACAACCATACTAATAAAAGGATTTTTTCACAATTTGTTGCGTTTCATCCTAAAATAATGTTTTTTTTGTTAAAACTAGGTAACGGGATCCGTTGTAATGCCCGAAGCACTCGTTTAAAATCACGCGTCAGGCGCGTCACCGAAAATCTGATCACGTGATAATAATCAATAATACATTTTATTGGTTAATCACGCGTGCGGACAGACTTGCATTACAATGTGTCTAACCGAAGATGTCCGAAGCGTAGCTGAGGACAATTATTTGGGTAAAATAATTGAAAACAAGAAAAGCGACTTATTCATATTATGAGATATAATTCATATCATGGAATTGACAATTTATCATTATAAAGGTAATTTTTAAAATTTTATTAACCTTACAAAATGGTATATCATTTACCACAACTCGACTAGCTCTAAAATAAAGTTGCATTGATAGCCAAAAAAAAAAAAAATAATAATAAATAATAAAACTAAATTAATCTCTTTAAGACAGAGTAGGACATTGGTTATTGAATATCTTAAGTTAATCGTTATACATCATTCATTTTATTTTATTTTATTTTATTTTATTTTTTTAAAAAAAAAATCTTGATTTTAGAAGTATTTTTACAATTAAAATATGAATGAACATTAACTAAAAAGCATACCAATTCGTCATCAAACTTCATTTTTTTTTTAATTTCATATGAATTTAATTTCATATAAATTTTTCTTAAACCATAAATTTTTATCTCGCATATATGATTAACTTTATTTTTCTATTCATCACAAATCGTTAAACCCATATCTAAAATCTGTATGAACGGTATCTTACTCACGTATACGTAACCACAAGCTCGTAAGAAAGGCATAAAAAATTTCTTTAATAAAATAATTATCATTCTTTTAATATTGTCCGTCCATTGAACAATATAAAAAAAAGAGAGTTGCAAAACAGTTGAGTGTTAAGCAGTAAATAAATATATACATATTTCGCGTATTTTTATGACCACAATAAAAAATTATTGGTTCAAAACCACGTGGTTAAATGGTTATTGCGTTCGTCAATACGTCTCTTTAATCTTGTAACCAAAGATTTCAATTTAGCTAGCTACTAGGACTTTAATATTAGAATTTCTCATACCCAATTCATCCTGATTCCTGAAAGGCAAAAAATTGTGACAATAAGTTTGGGTTGTACAATCAGTGATTAACAAATTTTTGCCACGATGATTATTCTATGTCAAATTAAACCTAATGATTAGATGATTGAAACTGAAAAGTTTAAGAGCTTTTTCGATTGTAGAGTATTAATACTAATTATATTATTTATTATTGATATAGATTGCAATTAAATTAAAACCTTTAATTTATTAATTTACTCTTTTTTTTTTGATGGAAAAAAGTTAGAAAAAGCTAAAATGATTTTTATCAAAAATCATTTTATATAAAATATCAAAAACTGACTAGATAACTTCTTTTATTCTAGCTTTAAGATTTATATTTCTTTTATTTATTATCTTTTTACAAATTGAGTTTTTTTCTATAAATCATCTTTTAAAAATAGAAAAAAATACAGGCATTAAAATTTTACACTTTTAAATTTAATATGTTTGAAAATTATATAAAACTGATTATATAAAATATATAATAAAATTACAACAATTTATTTATTTTATATTTTTTAAAGCAGTGTATTTACTATCTTGTAAATTTTAGAAAAATAAACATTGTGATGAATAAATATTCAATGTTTTAATTTAATAATTAAAGAAAAATTACTATAAATTATTGATTTTTTTTTGAAGCTTATCTAAATTATTCTTTGCCAACTCAAATCCTTGTTTGGCAGATTTTGTATACCAGTATATTGCTTTGTCTATATCTTTTGCAATTCCATTTCCTTCTTCATACATTAAAGCAAGATTATTTTGTGCTATATTATGTCCTAAATTTGCAGCATTTTGATATAATTCAAATGCTTTTTGCTTATCAATTTTAGTTCCAATACCATTATTATAACAATATCCTAGCATCATTATTCCATTTAAATGTTCACCTTCAGCTGATTGTTTAAACATTTCAAAAGCTTTATTACAATCCTTTTTAACTTCAATTCCATCTTCATATAATAAAATACCAAGATTATATATTGCATTTAAATTTCCAATATTTGCAGCTATTTCATACCAATAAAAAGCCTTTTTTAAATCTTTTTCAACATATATTCCTTTTTCATAACAATAACCAATATACAATTGTCCATTTGATAAATTTTTATTAGCCACTTTTTCATAATATTCAAAAGCTAATTTTTCATTTTTTATAGTTCCATTTCCATAAAAATAACATACACCAACAAAATATTGTGCTAATATATGATTTTTTTCTAATGCATTAAAAAAAAAATCAAATGCTCTCTCATTATTTTTACTTATTATAATTCCATAATAATTAAAATATCCAAGAATAAATATAGAATTTGAACTATTTTGATTAACTAATAACCAACTATAAAATTCTTGTGAATTTATGTCATGATCATCAAAATATTCAATAGTTTTCTGCTTATCTGATTCCCATTCAAGTCCTTTATTATTTAATTTATAAATTAAATCATTTATTTCATCAACTATAATGTTAAAATCTTCAATTGGAAAATTTTCTTGTTTACTTAATATTACCATAGGATCAATTTCTTTTATGTTTATTTTATCAAAATTTTGAATAAGTTGAGATAAATCTCCTTGTAATTCTGGATTATTAGTACTTAAAGAAGCTTCATTAAATTCTATTTCATTTGACATTTGATGATCTTCTACTATTACATCTGTTTTTGAAATTCTGGCATTTAGCCATTCAACTACTTGATATATCGTTGGACGATTATCTGGTTCCCCATCCCAACATTCTAATAACCAAATATAATTTAGAATTAATAATATTCAAATTATAAAAATTTAAAAACATAAATTATTACTTACTGGTATAAATTTTAACATATTCATCAGGAGTATCAGGAACAGCGGTTTCTCTATGACCTTGTGAAATATCTAAAGCTAAACAAATGTCATATTGTTCACCTTCAGCATAAAAAGGAGGTTGCCCACTGGATATCTCCCATAGTAATACGCCCAAACTATAAATGTCACTTTTTTCATTCAATGAGTACATTTGTATTGATTGGTTATTACTTCTTCGTCTGCTAAAACTTTTTGGATCGACGTAAGGAACCATTTCAAATAATTTAGATTGAAAATTGGATGATGCTCCAATTCTCTTGGATAATCCGAAATCTGCTAATTTGATTACGTTATTACGAACAAGTATATTACGGGAGTGCTATTAAAGAAATATTCAAATGAGTAATATAAATATATTATTATCAATGATCAAATAATGTTAAATAAATTACCAAGTCACGATGCACTATTCCTTCGTTATGTAAACATGATATGGCACAAGATAACTGGTATGCCATGTTATATTTGTCGGCCCAAGTAAGTTTGTTAAAGTTTTTCTTCAAATAACTTCGAAGGCTACCACCGTCGGCATATTCCATTACTAACCAATAATTATTATGATTATCTAATAAATAAAAAAATGATCATTAAAATGCATTCTCTGAATTTGCGATTAACAAGAATATTATCGTTATAAAGGCAACTTTATTAATACCTGACTCAAATTTTGTTATTCCATAGCAATGAATAATGTTATCATGAAAATCAACTTCTCGTTGAATTTTTAACTAAAATAAAATTCAAAATTTAAATGAGTATATTAAACAGAATCATAAACGAAAAAAATTATTTTATATTAAATTACCTCACGAACGATTTCTTTCACAGTGATTTTATCAAGACTAAAAAAAGATTTTAACGCAAATTGTTTTTCTGAATTTTTCCAATTTGCGCGAAATACTTTTCCAAACCCTCCGGTGCCAATATGTTGAATATTATTAAATTGGTTATATTCATAGAATTTAAAATATTCTTTATCGACTGCTTCCTCAAC